TAGATTTAAAACTATACCAGTTTGGGTTACTGCCGTGCAAATTAAATTTATCTTGTACGGGTGTCTGCGCAGGTAGTTATATTTGTTAACTCAAAAAAAATCTTCAGATTTCAGCAAACTTGAAGGTCCGTGGATAATACGGAATGTTCATAACAGGTTGCACCTCAGTTGTCCATACGAAAAGGGAAACAAGTCAAGCTGAATTAATCTTTCAATATAAGACTGAGTCCTAAGACTGTCCACGAATTTTATTGTCCATTGTAGCACCTGCTCGATGGGATCACTGCCTTTTTTCATCTACGGTGTCCATACTGGCATTCCATATTCTCAATGCGGTTTAATGAAAGTGCCAAAGAGCGGGTAAAACAGTTCCGCTGGAAAGAACATGAAAGCACGCCTGAAGGCTGTACAAATACGTAGATATTTATGCATGTCCACTTCTTCTAGTGCAGTCCTTTTCAGTGCTGGTGTTTGGGAAATGTCTCCGACTACATTTAAAAAGTAGAACTACACATTTGTATATATTAAAAGTCAGGAGCCACTTGCTGGACCACACAGTAAGTTTATCAGAGGTTTCCTGTACTTTCTGTGCGTCGCCAGCTGACCTAATGGTTTTCAACATTTTCATATCATCTGCAAACATGATGCTATCAAAGTCCTCATTCTCAGTGCAGACATTTATATAAAGGAGGAACAGAAGGGGGCCTAAGACTGATTCCTGCGGAAAAAAACTTTCTACTGGTGCCTAATTGGATTCTGTGTGGCCAACAATTAGTTCTTGCAGCCTGCGAGACAGGTAACAGGAAAAAAGTTTCCTGGGATAACATACTGCCAAACTCTATATTATAGCCGCTGATGAGGTACGCTCTCAAAGGCCTTCTTGAAGTCTTTTTGTCCATTCTTCTGATGAAAAAAGACTACTTGTGAGGGATGAGTGCTCACTGCGAAAACCATGTTTGGCATCATATAATATAATATGGTCCTATGTCCTAAGCTGTCTCTTAATAAGTCGCCCCATGACCTTGCACAAACTGCAGGTTAAACTAATCGGACGGTACTTTTCCGATTCCAGCGTAGACACTCCTTTAGGGATCGAGGAAATAAAGTCAATTTCCCACTTCTGTGGCAGTTCACCATATTTAATAGATTTTAAGAATATCGTCGACGCCGGTTCACAAAATATATCGGCCAATTCTCGAAGGGCATGTGGATGAATCCTATCTGGACCAGGTGAGTTAGCGGGTTTTGTACGAAGTAACTATATCCTTATCGATACAGGCGAGAAGTCGATGGCGACTTATCCTGCAAATGTTTGCTTATTTTATTGTTAGTTTGGATGGGGAGAGGAGGGAATTTGTTTCATGGGTGAAAACCGACTGAAAGGAGCCAGAGATGACTGAGGCCTTCTTTTGGTAATCCGTCTCAAGTACTCCGTTTCAGGACCGCAAGGCTTGAATTAGGTCACGATTTCTTTAATTGTTGGCGCCTGACGACGCATACCGATGGTGTTTAGTTTGCTAAAACTAGGCCTGTGATGCTTTTGATTGTTTATGGCATTTGATCTTTGTAACAATCGTCTTGCCATAGTTGAAAGATTTGTAAATGTTAGTTTTTAGGTTGCACGCTACCAAAAAAGGTTCGTGGTTGTGCACTATCTCGGGGTATTTAATAAAATGTCTATGCCATGCATTGATCCCCTGCCTGAAGGCTGGGAAATGCGTCTTGATGATACGACAAAGACATATTACTTCATTAATCATAACGATCGCTCAACTCAATGGCATCATCCAGTGAGTCGTCTAGTTTACCGTCCAACATTGGGAGGAGCTCGAGCTGATGGACCACCAGCAAATGGGCACATGGGCAAAAGAATTACGATTGAACGGGCTCCGGTCGTAACTAATATTAGCGAAAGAGTTAATCCACACCAGGCTAATTATTCGGTAGGCGTTATATTGTATTGACGCCCTTTAGACGCCTACAACAATTGAACCGTATTCGGAATTTCCTCAAATCCACGCCGTCATGACGAAGGCAAAACCCCTAACAGAGGAAGTCAATCGGTTTCAAGGTAATCAAACTATTTTTGGCAATTCTGCTTATTTCTACTGCTATCTAATGAATACGCCGTTTATTTTTTCACGAATTAATTCGTTTGTATACGGTTTTCTCTTTGTCATTTTTATGACACTGGAAAACAAAGCAAGAGACTGCAGCTGATAGCCTATGAGAATTAGCGCATGCTTGTCTTTAGCCGCCATCATACGAAATTTTAGCACATTTGGTTAGGTTTGTATAGCAGTGCTGGTAGGATTGCGTATCACCGTGTTCCTTCTCATCAATCAACATTGTCCCTAGGTAACTAACCCAATGTCTGTCTCTTAAAATGAAATTGAAAAGGGGGAATTATGGTTGGGATTTGAGCTGGTTCAAATGATTGCGTTTCTTGTAACTATCAAGCTATAGCTTCATTTCTGAGATTTGTGCAAAGACCCCAAGAACTTACGCATTTCCCAGAACCTGCATATATATGCAGCAGAATTATTCAGTTGTGTATGTTTCCCTCTAAATATTATTTCTGGACGATGAATTTTGTTACCAAATTTTGTAAATGAGTTGAGTAAAGAACTGAGTAAATATGTCGAAGTGTTTATTATTTTGATAGTGCAAATGCTTTCCTGGTCTGTTCTGTTTTAAGCAAGACGCAACATTTATCAAGTTTGAAAGGTTTATAGTAGTCACATAGTCCCCCACATATGTTCACTGCTAGTTGTCATCGGGGTTTTACTATGGATATCATGGTGTTCACCCAGTTCCATCAAACTTGTACACGTACACAGAAAGCAGTGACTATTCTAAGGCTTCACTGTCTTATAGTTTACCTGCGCCATGGTTAAGAAGTCATGCCCACGACATAGGTATGCCTTGCCTTCTTCGAATGTTTCCAATTTCATAGTCGTTTACTTTTTTGCCCCCTCCTGCTGGCATAAATTTGAAATGCCGATCTCCAAACCGACGTTTTTATGAGAGAGCTTATATAATTTTGCTTCTCCGTCAAAATTTGTTTATTCTATGCTCCCGAGCTGGCCACAAAGTCACTTAAGCATATCCTCTAACTTTGTCTTACCTGTACTTGATATGGACGTGATAATTACTGACCTGCCCTTGAGGATACAGCATCTTAATTCACTTGCTATACTCCACTTTCTTGATAATCACAGCTTGCTGCTAACAGGGATGTATCAGCGTAATTAAGACTCGTCAGTTGCAGAGTTAAACAGTATGCGCGACAGGATTAAATCCTTTCTAACACCAAACTGGATATTGAAGACCTGAATACACACAACGGTAGAGCGGTAGCGAGGATCCCTGTCGCGATACCGTCTAACTCCATTCTACAGCTAGTCAGCCAAATAAAAGAGTCAGACGTGGCTTGGTTCTTGCACTGCAAGAATGAGCCGATGTGTATATATCTAGTCGAAACATCCGAGTCCGGCGCTGTTGAAGCTCGTACTTACGTCATGCACACTGAATCTATTTGAGAATGACAATGCCACAGCACATCTCTACAACGCAAGTGGTACTTATGAAACTGTAGTTCTCGATAATATCGCCCTATTCCGAGACGGGACCAAGGATTGTCGGGCCCTAGGGCACAGACTCCTCTGCACGCTTGCTCAGTCGTTTAAGGTCAGTGCTTCAGAGTGAGGACATAAAACCTATAGACTTGCATGCATGTGGCGTCCTCATCGGG